TGTGAATTGGTGCCCAAAACTGAACTGCATATTCCAGATGAGATATTACTAATGATTTGTACAGGGGTAATATGATATCTCTCTCTCTGGAGTCTATACCACTTTTAATACAAGAGAGGATTTTGCTCGCTTTAGAAACCGCAGCTTGGCATTGCATGCCATTATTAGGCTTGTGATCTACCAGAACTTCCAGATCCTTCTCCACCATTGATTCCCCCAGTTGTACACCCCCTAGTATGTTTTATGCATGCATATTCTTAGCCCCCAAGTGCATAACCTTACATTATCAACATTAAACCTCATTTGCCATATAGTTGCTCAATTAAACAGTGCATTGAGGTTGGCTTGTAAGTTGGAGACATCCTGTAAGGACGTTATTCCACTGCACAGCTTGGTGTCATCTGCAAAGACTGAAATGGGATTTATAATCCCAGACCCTATATCGTTTATAAATATATTAAAAAGTAAGGGTCCCAACACTGAACCTTGAGGTACACCACTGACAACCCTAGACCATTCAGAGTATGAATCATTAACCACTACTCCTTGAATACAATCTTTTGGCCAGTTTTCTCTCCATTTACATACAGATTTTTCCAAGTCCGTAGACTTTACCTTACACATTAGCCAAGTGTGGGAACTGTGTCAAACACTTTTGCAAAATTCAAGTATACCACGCCCACCGGCACCCCTCTGTCCAAGGTTTTGCTCACCTCCTCATAAAAAGAAATCAGATTTGTTTGACAACGTCTGTCTTTCACGAATCCATGCTGTCTGTTGCTTAACATATTTTTTTCCAGCAAGAACTCATCTATGTGGTCTTTTATTAAACTCTCCAGTATCTTCCCAACTATAGAAGTTAAACTAACAGGTCTATACTTACTTGGTAAAGATTTTGACCCCTTTTTGAATATTGGCACCACATTGGCCTTACGTCAATCCAGTGGTACTATGTCAATCATTAAAGAGTCCCTAAAAATTAGAAACAATGGCTTTGAAATGACAGAGCTCAATTCTTTAAGGACCCGTGGGTGTACGCCATCTGGTCCAGATGCTTAATTCACCTTTATTCTGTCTAAATATTTTTGGATCATATCAGTTTTTGGGTTTGGTCCTGTTATCCTTTGCAATCTCTCATCATTTAAAATTTTTGCGGCCTTTATTTCCTTTTTGCATATTCTGTTATATTCTTTGTAATGTTTAAACAATGATAGCATTCCTTCATTTTTGTATTTAATAAAAGTTCTTTTCTTATTATCTATAGCTTTTTTAACTTTGGCCGTAAGCCACATAGGTTTGATTTTTAGCCTTTTAAACTTGTTGCCCATGGGAATATATTTTGCAGTGTGTTCACATACAGTCTTTTTGAAGAACTCCCATTTATGTGTTGTGTTCATTGATGTTAATATTCCCTCCCAGTCTAAGTCTTGGAGAGCAGCTCTCGGCATTGAAAAATTAGCTCTCTTAAAATTGAGCATTTTATTTTTCCTGTATGTGCTTGTACAGCTAACAATAAATGAAATCATGTCACTGCTACCCAGATGTTCTTTTATATGGACATTCATAATAAGCTCTGCATTGTTTGTGATTACCAATTCCAGCAGAGCATCAGTCCTAGTTTGGGCCTCTATGAACTGTACCATAAAATTGTCCTGTAGTAGGTTTAAACATTTTTGCCCTTTAACTATTCCTGTAGTACCATTACTCCAGTCAATTTCCGTGTAGGTAAAATCCCCCCATTATTATAACTGTCTCAGCCCTTGTAGCCCTATCTGTGCAAGGAGTTGAGTCTCCATCTCCTCATTAACACTGGGAGGCCTATAACAAACTCCAATGATTACCTTTGTAGTACGCACCCCCATGTGCAGTTCCACCCATCACCTTTCAGCCTCATCACACTCTCCATCAACTAGGTCCTCTTTCACACTCGCTCTGAGATCACTTTTCACATAGAGACAGACACCACCACCTTTCTTATTTACCCTGTCTCTCCAAAAGAGAACATAGCCAGGAATATTAATGGCCCAGTCATGTGAAGAATGAAGCCAAGATTCAGCAATATCAATTAAATCATAGTTCTCTTCATGCACCAAAGCTTCCAACTCACCTATTTTGCTTGGCAGATTTCTGGCATTAGTGAACCAAACACTTTAATCAATTGACACCTTGTTCACACGTATTTTTCATATTTTTTATTTTCATACAAATGGTACCAATTCCACTGGTTGTTTGTAACATGGTAACCTTCTTATCATCTGCCATAGCCTTCCCCCCATCTTTCCCAATTCCACCCACCAATAAATGTTGACCCCTGTCTGATCTGTCTACCCTGTTATAATCTAATTCTCCCTCCCCCCTCGATCCTAGTTTAATTACTCCTCCAGCCTTTCCATAAACCTCTCCCCCAGCACAGTAGACCCCCTTCCATTTAGGTGCAAACCATCTCAAGCATACAGGTTGCACCCCAATTAAAAGTCAGCCCAGTGCTCTAGAAACCCAAATCCTTCCCTCTTACACCAGGTCTTCATCCATGCATTGAGTACTCTAATCTCCCCCTTTCTTTCCTGAGTTGCGCATGACACAGGTAATATTTCAGAGAATATCACCTTGGAGGTCCTTCCCTTCAACTTGCAGCCTAATTCTTTAATTTGATTCTTAAGGAGCCTCCACCTTCCATGTATTCTGTCATTGGCTCCAACATGGACCAAGACAGCTGGGTCATGCTCAGCCCCTCCCAGTAATTTATCGACCCGGTCCACCACATGCTGAACCCTGGCACCAGGGAAACAGCAAACCATTCAGTTGAGACAATCCTGGCGACAAATTATTCTATCAGTCCTTCTGATTATAGAATCTCCTACTACCACCAGCTGTCTAGGTCTTCCTGCACTAGCCTCACCACCCTTCCCAGATGGTCTTCCCTCCTGGCTGTTAGGGATAGCAGTGACATCCAGAGCTGCCACCCCAAAATTGGGGAACTAGATATCCCACTGACACCAACGATGGAGCACTGTTCCTCCCACTGACCACCAAGCCTAGGGTATTGTTTACTTCCACTGATGCCAGGGAATTTTCTGCTCCCACTGGCCACAATCTGGCCCCTCTAAAGTTTGAAGGGCAGTAAACTGGGTTTTTGTTTCAAAAGTTTGGAGACCCCTGATTTAAAAAGTGTTTAGCTACCCATGCCCTTTATGACAAGCCTTTTCCTAGTATCCTTGAAAATGGCCAGTATTGATTTTCAAAATGTGCCTCCTATAGACTTCGATAAGCTTCCAATTTATAGCCTAAATCCAGGTTTTATTTAACTTTATATAGTTCACTTGGACCAAGCTAGTCCAAATTAACTATTTCCTTCACTAATACATTTGCCACTGAGAGCACTGTATAAACTTTTTGTAGCATCAGACAATGTACAGTGCTGTGTTCCAGCAGCAGTATAGGGACTTCCTCTCCTGTTCCCAGAACAAAATCAAGCTGGGGTGAGAGCTGCTTATCTATTCACAGGAACCACTGTATTTTTATGAATGAATATAAAGCTTTCTCTGAATGGCTAGTGTGGGGTCTATGATGTCATCCAATTGCTTTTCTACCTCACGCATTCAGGGGAAGCCTTGTGTTCATTCATAAAAATACAAGGCTTCCCATGAATGGCCAACCAGCACTTAGCCCACCTTAATTTTGTTAGAGGGATGGGATGGGAAGTGTCCATATTGGTGCTGGAACACAGAGTTGTATATACTGTGTGTAGCTACATACAGTCCATATAGTGCTCCTAGCGGGCACATGTATTAATTAAGAAGATTGTTTGTTTTAACCAGCTTGGTTCTAAACAAACTAAAGTGAAATCAAACCTGGAGTTAGGCTTTAAGTTTGCAACTTTTGGACGATGGGTTTGAAAAATGCCCCACTAACCAAACCCAGACACATTTGCTCATCTCTAACAGTAAGGGAGCAGACTGTTACCATGAAATTTGAAGCATATGCTTTTCCATTTTAGAGACAGAGTGTTAGCCAGAAGAATGCACAGATAGCTGAAATGACTAGAAGTTCAAATCTGGATGTGTTAGCTATTAGAAGGAATGTTCCTTCAGCAGCTGAAAAAGGAAGAGGAAGTGCCCAAGCACACATCCTTTCAGCAGAAAAGACACTGAGTGCCTCTCATGGCACTGTTCTATGCATTTGTTTTCCACTGGTGTGCAGATTGGTGCTAATATGAGTTGTGCCCTTCAGTGCACAGACAGCCACTAATGCTTATGTGTGCTTTTGTAAAATCAGTCTGTATATGCAGTAAAGCGTGCTAGTTATACTCACTGTGGAACCTGAGGGGTTAATCCTCTGCATTGTGTAAAAAGGCTGTTTGATCCTGACTTTTCTCCCCCTCCTCTTGTTCAAATGTCCATGCTGATAAGACAGACTGAACCCATAGCCTTTCTGAACATGCTCAGTTTAGTGTATATTGCTAGAGAGATTTTTTTTTTCTTGGGAGAGCGCATATGATCAGCACAGGGCCAATCATCACTGCCTAGGCAGAGGTCAGGGGTTCTGCACCCCCCCTAGAGTAGAAAGAAAACTCCTCCTACAAGCTTTAACCAGTGTTATGCTGAAGTCACAAGACTGCTCTAACTGCTGATGAGAAAAGGTATTTAGCAGTTTATATTTACTAAAATAATTGCATTTTCATGTTCTGTGTACTATGAGAGACCAGATATAGTGAATGCAGGGTCCTGGATTTAGTAACACTTTAAGATACTGTATAAAAAAGTATGATTTAAAGTGGACCCACCATTATATATCACACTTTATATGAAACAATACTGTACATGTTAACATTACCAAAGCTAACTTTATGGTCCAGATGTTTTTGTCATTTGCAGGACTTGTAATCATAAAAAAAGTTCTTTTTTTTAAAACTTAATTAAAATCAACAGTTTACGAAAGAAGGTCCATACCAGCAAACTTGTGAGCCCTTACTTTCTCAAGCAGGGGCAGACTGACAACTCATGGGGCCCCTGGGCAATAGGGGATCATGGGGCCCCTGTGTCCTCGCCCACACTCAAACCACACCCAAAAAAGCCTATGAAAGGTACCAGGGGCATTTCATGGGGCCCCCTACTGACCCCGGGCCCTCGGGCAGTGCCCGAGTTCTCGAATGGTCAGTCCGCCCCTGTTCTCAAGTGATATGAGTTGCTTCTGACTTGAGAAGAAGCCAGGATATCTTTGAATCCTTGCTGTTATTTAGCTTGTTTATCTGCATTATTACTACGTATGTTTCTCCATTATGGGTTAGGTTGAAGGTCATGGCTGGAGTTGGGGGTTAGTCACTAGGTAATGTTAGTCAGGGCATGATTAGTACAGTGGTATGGTATGTCATGGTTAATGTCACATGTAAAAGCCAGAAAAAAAATCTCATACAGTTTATTGGTAGTAAAACTTTATATTTGAAATATTGGGGATTATTTACTAAAACTGGATAGTGCAAAATCTGCTACAGCTTCCAGGTTCCAGGTTTCATTGTCAAAGCTTAAATGAACAAGTTGAAGTTAGAAGCTGTTTGGCTCCCATGTACAACTGCACCAGATGTTGCACTTTCCAGTTTTAGTAAATCAACCCCATAGTGTTCTGGTGTTTCTGCACCAAAAACATCCATGCCAATATCAAAAAGCAGAAAAATCTAATACTATTTAAGGAATTAAACATGTAATCTGATCCATTGTATGAGCAACAGCACTTTTATTTCAGTCTTTACTCATTAGTACACTGCCAGCATATTTTATTTAAGGTTTCTTTATTTTATGGAGGGAGCATGTTCACATCTTAAAACACTGAAATTTAAGCCCAAGTTTCTATTTTATTCATCTTTTTCTTAGGCCATTTGTTATTTCATTGGTTTTGGTAAATTCCAATGGAGATCTTTAATTATTTAACAGTATGTACAGTCCATTCTCATTCAGCAAGTATCTTTACTACACAAGTATGTTCAGATGTCCTCTACCTTTGATTTATTGAGTGCCGCACAATTTCATCATCACAGGGGTCAAACATACATATCATTCACTGAAAAGAACTATAACACCTGGTTTATAGGAGGAAAATATTTATAGCATTCACACTGCAGTACAGCTTCATGTAACCTATTCTGAAATTGTCAAATGGGAGTCACCTTTGTAGAATTTATAGCACGGTACACAATGTGTACATTTAAACATTAATTTTTTAGAGAATGAAAAAAAAAAGAAGAAGCATACCCTAAAAACACTTTATTGCAAAACAGCAAATACAAAAGCATATTACAGATAAAAAATGTAGTTACAGGATCACATAAAGTAATTAGCAATCAATTTGAAAGGGGAACTCTTTCACACTTTTACATAAGGTGTGGAAAAATATTTTGTAACATATACATTTTGAATGGCATTGCAATGCATTAATAAAATGCACCCCAATACACCCGCATTGCAACTTATTACAACAAACGCTGCCTAACAAAATTGGTGAAAGTCTGATTTTGGCTTCATTGTGATTGGTGACAGTCCATTTAAATGAATAAGCTGCCTTAACTCAATGCATATTAATACACGACACAACAAGCTTTATGGTACTAGGGGCGTTCAAGTCAAACCAACACTTTTGAGTTTATATAATGAAAGAACAAATTTCAAGAAGTGGAAACTGCATTTATTTTTTTACATACTCTTCTGCTACATTTATACATGCATCCTAGCATTTAACTAATGCCTGGAAAGCTTCAGCATAGAAAGATTTATCAGTACACCTGAACCATCCTAGAACAGCCTGCTTCACTTCATCATCATTGTGTTCATCGTTCCCACAGAAAGATTAGTCTCTTGTGCAAATTCACAACAGGTTATGCGTCGATTATCCAGGATCAGGCATTCAATGTGCTGAATGTTCACAGGAATTACTGCTGTGGGTTGGGAACCACCAAAGCCAGGATCGTCACTGATGGATATACGGCCATCTTTGAATGTCTGCACCATTCAACACAGCGAGATTGAGGGACAGGTAAGTGTCCATTTTTTAAAAGTCAGCAGCTACAGTGTTTGTAGCTGCAGACTTTCATTTTTTTTAATTTTCACTGGAACTCTGCTCTAATGCCCTGTAACACTGTGTAAACATTTGCATGGACCCTTAAGCTAGCCATACACATTTGATAAATCAATCAATTTATTAAATTTTTATCAAAATTGCAAAGCAATTAACGACATAAAATGGTGTTTCAACTGGGCGCAATGGGCTGTGGTTAAATTTGCCACAATTGACCCCAGACAAAAAATTAGATCGCTATCAGAAATATTGCTAATTTTTTTTTTTTAATGTTTTTGATGTGATCGTTCAATAAACTGTATTGAAGTTGTCACTTTTTTTCCCAATTTTGACTTCACAATTGAATGGATTTTGGTAGTTGTTCAACACGTCGGTGGTGGTAAATTACTTGTGAGTGGTAAATTGCTGGCAATCATTTTTGAAATTCAAGGTGGATGGAAAGTGGTTGAAATTGACTGAAACGTGCCATGCATATGGCTATTGTATGATGTTCCTCTTACAATGTGAACCTACAGTATATTGCCGAAAGGACTAGAACACACCTGCAAATCATGGAATTCAGGTGTTTCAATCACCTCCATAGCCACAAGTGTATAAAATCAAGTACCTAGGCATGCAGACTGCTTCTACAAACATTTGTGAAAGAATTGGTTGCTCTCAGGAGCTCAGTGAATTCAAGTGTGGTAGGTTGCCACCTGTGCAATAAGTCCATCCATGAAATTTCCTTGCTACTAAATATTCCACAGTCAACTTTTAGTGGTATTATAACAAAGTGGAAGCAACTGGGAACAACTGTAACTCAGCCACGAAGTGGCAGACCATGAAAAACTACAGAGCGGGGTCAGCGCATGCTGAAGCGAACAGTGTGCAGAAGTTGCCAACTGTCTGCAGAGTCAATAGCTAAAGACCTCCAAACTTTGTGTGACCTTCAGATTAGCACAACAACAGTGCATAGAGAGCTTCATGGAATGGGTTTCCATGGCCAAGCAGTTGTATCCAAGCCTTACATCACCAAGTGCAACGCACAGCGCTGGATGCAGTCGTGAAAAGCACACCGCCACTGGACTCTAGAGCAGTGGAGATGTGCTCCCTGGAGTGACAAATCACGTTGCTCTATATGGCAATCTGATTTACATGTCTGGGTTTGGTGGTTGCCAGGAGAATGATACTTGCCTGACTGCATTGTGCCAAGTGTAAAAATTGGTGGAGGGGGGATTATGGTGTGGGGTTGTTTTTCAGGGGTTGGGCTTGGCTCCTTAGTTCCAGTGAAGGGAACTCTTAAGGCGTCAGCATACCAAGACATTTAGGACAATTTGGCCCCTTCCTGTTCTGCCATGACAATATAGTGTATGCCCAGGTGCATTAAGCAATATCAATTTATTAAGGGAACTTGTGTCGTAGGATAAACTTAACACAATTTTTAAAATCTTAGAATGTACTCCTAATACCTAGATTTTTTTGTAATGGTCTTTTTAATTAAAATTTAAATAAAATACAGAAAAGTAGATGGAAAAACAGGATAGACAATATTAAGGGGTCTTTTTAGAGATATTTTTAACCTCCCTGGCGGCTGATTATGTCAATATTTCTGTGCTCAAAGTGGTACATTTTTTTGCTTGGAAATATGTCGTTTTTTTTATTGTAGGTCTGTAATTTGTAGGAATAACCCACTGAAATCTGTCCGAACAAGAGTCTAGTAAACATCCCGGGTATGATAAAATTTGAAACACAAAATAATAAATTATAATAGAATAAATAATCATAAAAAATAAATATATAATAATAATAATAATAAATTTAATTAAATAATATAATCAAACCAAAACCATTGAAATTTGAAATAGAGCGCAGAGTTTGCACATCGCTGAGCTCAGTCGCAAAATCGTTTTCAGTGCCTGATGATGAATTTCCCCACAAATCATTATCACTCAATTCTGCAAGTAGTTCTGATTTACTATCGCTGTTCTCTAGCCGGTCTAAAACCGCTTTTGACCTAAAGGGACGCTTTTTGGATGCCGTGGACGTTTCTCAGTTTCAAGGCAGAAAGAACAGTAAAAATGCAGGCAGGGCACAGGACAAAGCACTAGGGACAAAATGTATGTGAAATGGTTTGATACAGTAATGTTATACTATGTGATTTTAGTGTATTTAGTGCATGTCACTTTTTTTTACATTTTTAAATTTTCCCCCGTACGTCCCGACGCTCGCAGTGGGGACATCGGCTAGAGGAGATGGCCGGGGACGCTGCAGGGGGGACATCGTGGGAGCGAAGGACAAAGTAAGTGCAAGAGGGATCCCGGAGCAACACTGCAGGGTAATCCCGAGTGTAGCTCGGGGTTACCGCTTCTGGTACTGAAACTTAACCCCGAACTACACTTGGGAATACTGCCAGGGAGGTTAAAGAAGTGTCACACGGTTTTTACATAAGATTCACACATTTTTTAAAATTGTATTTAATCCCCTTACCTTCAACCTTCTCTTATTGCCCTTCATACCATTTTTAAGTAGTACTTAAAACTAAAAAATGTAATATATTGCAGCTTCCTAATCATTACATGAAGTGACTGCATTTGCGTTTTCTCTTTTTTAGTTTTTTTTCCCTCTGTTTTCCCTTGATGATCTGGACAGTAACACACCTCTTGCAGAGGGCCCCCACTCCGGATGAAGGTGCATAGGGGGCACCTTTGGACAGCAGCAGTTTCAGTTTAGATGGAGGGGAATGTTAGATGTTCTAGCATATTTAAATACACTAACAAATGGAAGCCAAACTTCAGGTCACACTTTTTAATTAGTTACATCAAACAGTCTTTTTCCTTTTGGGATAAAGGTTTTACAGAAATAAACAAAATCTGATCATTGTAAGCACCCCTGCCGATGTTAACTGGTTTGTCTCATACCTGTAAACTGATACATGAGAGCTTGTTTTTTTGAAAAACAACAGACTTACTGGCCAGAACATCAGATGAAAATAGAAAAAAGGGAAAAAGCCAAAAAAGAAAACGAATGCAGCGAACACAGCTATGAATTGGTAAACTGTAATATAACAAATGTTTGCTTCTGCGTTTAAAACGACTTTTTGTTTATTATTATCAATCCGGTATTCCCCATTTTGAGTTTTTTTTTTTTTTTTTTTCAAATTCTTTAATATCATCAAGCATACAGTCAAATGATAAGTATACATTTTTTTCTCAATGAAGTATGACAATGTTACATGTCATCAAATGAAAATAAATCTATGAGATATATAACAAAACAGGAATGTTCATATGAGTTTGCTGTTGGTAAGTGTAGATACCTGCATGATACAATGCACCAGTGTACTAACAGCAGCATTAAAATGGAGGTTTTCTCTGACTGTAGGACTCTTTTTTTTTTTTAAATAGTGAAACAGGGTTGGGTGAGAGGTCAGATAGGAGTAGTCTTGGCAGAGTCCCATGTCTTGCTGTCTATGAGTGGGTCGTATAGAATCAGGGGGGTGTGGGGATTGGAGTAGTTATAGCTTGAGGGGAGAAAGTGGGTTGAAGGGGGTTAAATAGGGGCTGAGATTGGGGGCAATTATGATAGAAGGGGATGGGAGGATGCTGTAGGGAATGATAGCTAGGAAGAAACTGTGTCATGATCAGTCATGGCCCACCAATGGGTGCTTACCTTCATCTGAATAGGTCCCCTGAAACCTATAGAACTATATCTTCCTTCCATCCTTCTGACACTGTCTACTTTAGTAAGCCACATTTCAGAAAGTTGAGATTCCTCAGGCCAGATTGCCGTGTTTGAAGGTGTCTCAGAATTGATTTTTTTTATATTATTTGATGGGAATTTAATTGTTTTGGAAAATAGAAGGTTAAAAGGGAATATGGACATATGTACATGATTGGGAGATCCTTTGTACTTCATGCCAGAATTCTCTGAGCTTAGGGCAGGCCCATGAGATGTCAAGAGGGGAGCACTTTTCCCCTCCACACCTCCAACATTGGTCTGGTGCTGAAGGTGTTGTCTTATAAATCCAGGCCAAAGGATCTTGCAATTACACTCTTTGTTCTGGTGCATATGGAAGACTTCATAGTGAGGAGTTGTCTTAATGTTTCAATGTGATTAGAGAGGAATAATAAGTATTAAGAATGTAGATGTCTTAGTGGTCCTGAATCAGAGCATACAGAGCCTCTCAAAGCCTATCAATGGCTGATTAAAGTCCATAGCAGGGAGTAGCATAGTTTCTAAAAGTAGAAGTTGAAAGGCATTCCAGAAAGGTAAATGGAATGGGCTTATGGGGGATTTCAGGTGTGTATCTGATGCCCAGCTTGAGCCCATGCAAAAATGGTAGAGTCAAACAATAGGGATTATTCATGATGGGTGTGTGAATGTCTCAGGCCTGAATGCAAGTGTACAATACCAATGCACATGTTCCTGTGTTAAAAATATCTGTGTGTATAAGTGGGTGCTGCATCGACCATTGGCTGGAACTGAACAGAATCAGCAAGGGAGTATGTCATCAACACAGTGAGGATCACCAATATGGGTCCAAAAGTTTTAATGAACGATCACATAGTTAAAGCAAGGCAACTTTTTGGAGTCTAGCAGGACCCCTTCATCAGGCGTATTGGACCCATATTGGTGATCCTCGGTGTGCTGGTGACAATCTCCCTTGCCTCAGGCCTGAGACATTCACACAGCCATCACCAATAATAAAATGTGTATTTTTCTATGGTTGTCAGCTCCATCTACTAGCCATAATGTTGTATTTTCCTGATTGAAGTATTTTGAGAAAATACTGAATTATGGCCTTTAGTTGGCTCTGATGATTATATGAAATAAAAATATTAGGCAAAATACAGGGATTCTTCATGACAGCTGTGTGAGAACTTGAGGCATTCACATAGCAAACTTTATATCAATAGACCCCCCATAGTGTTTATAATTCTGTACACCACATTGCACTTGCACAAAAGATATTTAAAGGATATGTTTAATTGCAAATACTATTAAAAAAATGATGCACTTGAGATGCATTTCTAAATCTAAAATAAGCTAACAGCTGATCCCTGATGGTAGAGCCCTTTGAAGCCTTTACTCCAATGGTCACAAACACATATCTATATTGCATAATTTATATATGCATTTATCCAGTTACTTCACCATAATATGAATGCATCTAAAATGCAATATTCTGTTTAACAGATACTGTATGAAAAAAAAAGAAACAAAAGTCTGTATTTTTGTATAAATAAGCCGCCTACTCTCTACGTATTCAATAACCTTTAAAAATCCTGATTTAGGGGAGATGAATATCCCAAGGAGGAGCTTGGGAAGGTGGTTATCATGTCCATGCCAGTAAAATGAATTATTTTACCAGCTCTTCTCAGGGACTATTTGCTTGTGCTGACTGTTACAAGAATATGATATGTTTAAAGGCTCCCAACACAGAAGGAAAATGACTTTGCATTTCTCAACATCATAATTTTCTGACATGTGCAAACAGAGCACAGGAAAAGTAAAATTTCTAAATGTTTAAACAGTTAAAGTACATCTAAAGGCTTCTGTATGACAGTCTAAAATGACCCAAAATCCAGCTACTATGTAATGCACAAGACCCATAAAGTAAACAGAAAATGTCCTTTGCCTTCCCTGAGCAAGCCAAAGTTTCTTTCATATGTGCTTCACATGCATCCTTCCAAGATGCAACAGTGGGATGGTTTGAGCAACAGAGACAGTGCTGTCAATCAAGAAAGCAGTGGGCAGAACTATGTGTTGCCAGGTGTTGATTGACAGCTAGAGGCTTATGAATCAGCAGTGACAATGCTATGCCCCCTGCCACATGTTTTAGTCCCACCAGGGGCGGACTGACATCTCATGGGGCCCCCGGGCAATAGGGGATCATGGGGCCCCTGTGTCCTTGCCCAAACTCAAAAAAGCCTATGAAAAAGGTACCAGGGACATCTCATGGGGCCCCCTACTGACCCCAGGCCCTCGGGCAGTGCCCGACTTTCCAAATGGTCAGTCCACCTCTGAGTCCCACTGTAGTGCAATCCGGCACGGCCTACATTAGAGTGGCAACTCTGCGCCAAAAACATTTCCACATCATCACAGGAAGCTGTGTTAGGTGGCCTTTACTGGCAGGATCAACAAGTGTTTTAGGGACATTGAAGGGGAACTAAGAGAAAGTGCAGATGCACTTATAATTAAATGTACACAATACCTCCAAAAGGCTTTATCGACTGGCCATACTTTGTTACCCTCGGGTTTCTCCTTCACTTGTTGCTCACTCTGATGATTGTAACCACTAGGATCTACCTGACAGCCTGATTCCTCTCTGTGCTGCAGGAGGGCTGACTGAGGATTTCCATGTACAGGAAGAGTGTTAGAGCTTTTGAACTCAACATTCATAAAAACATTGCAGGAGAATTCATACAATTAGGTCTAATAAATCAAATCAAAGCCTTGTCTTAAGATCAGCTCCTGTTTACCTCATTATTAAAGTGTTACTAAACCCACAACAGCAAAATCAGTCTGTAAATGCAGTAAAGCATGCTTGTTATACTCACTGTGGAACCTACGGGATTAATCCTCTGCATTTTGTAAAAAGGATGCTTGATCCTGTCTTCTCTGATATTCCCCTTCTTCTACTGTCCCCAATCCATCTTTTAATAGAACAGAGCCTTAGGGGCAAGCTGCACATGTTCAATTTGGTGTGTATTGCTAAAGAGTTTTTTTTTTCAAGGGAGAATGCATGTGATCAGCACAGGGCCAATCAGCACTGTCTAGACAAAGAGTCAGGGTCCTGCAGCCTCATAGGACAATCAAGGGAGTATGGAAACTCCTCCTACATGCTTTAACCAGGGCTCTGCTGGACACTGATAGAATTCACAAGACTGGTCTCACTGCTTTTGAGAAAAGGTATTTAGCAGTTTATATCTACTAAAATAATTGGATTTTATTGTTCTGTGTACTGTGAGAGAGCAGATATATTGAATGAGGGGTCCTGGGTTTAGTAACACTTTAAATCTGTGTTATGCCTTACACTAGTTAATTCCTTATGTATTTTAGCTGCATTTTTTGTACTGTTCATAGTAAAATGTTCGTTTTCAATTGCTTAAAGTGGCAGTACAGTCCACTTTCTCACTTGTACCTACAGGTAAGCCTATAGTAAGGATTACCTGTAGGTACAGTGAACATCAACTAAATGTGTACAGTTTAGGAGATATTCACATTTTCAGAGGCTCGTGACCAGGGGCGGACTGACAACTCATGGGGCCCCTGGGCAATAGGGTATCATGGGGCCCCTGTGTTCTTGCCCAAACTCAAAAAAGCCTATGAAAAAGGTACCAGGGTCATCTCATGGGGCCCCCTACTGACGCCGGGCCCTCGGGCAGTGCCCGAGTTTCCAAATGGTCAGTCCGCCCCTGCTCGTGACATGACTGGTGCATGAGCACTGTGCTCTGGATGGATGGCATACTAGAGTATTCCATCCATTGAGAGTGCTGTGCCACAACTGTGACTCCTGCACTCATGTGTGGGAGTATTGTCTTCCAGCACAGGCCATTCAAAGGGCTGGAGCCTGTGAACTCAGAAGGAGGATGGAAGCGCTGACAGTGGTGACAGTGTGCCGCTGAAGGGCTTCATTTTGAGGTAAGTCTGTATTAATGTGTTAATGCATAAACGTCCGGGGGGCATTTTTTTTAACTTCATTACCGCTTTCATTTTGTTAATTATTGTAGCACCAAATGAAATACAATTCCACAAACAAAATCTGTAAATAACTTCACCATGCTTTTACAAAGCAAAGCATAAACAAAATTTCAGTGTTAATTAATACATGAGGATTTGTACTTTTTTATCTATAGTAACACAAACTATTTTAAAACTTTTATAAGGAAAGCTAAAAAAAAATTTTTTTTTTTCTGTAGAATACATAGGAGATTAAATAATTTTTGGAATGCATTGCTGTCAAAAGAAAGCTTGTTCTCCCCTCAAAAAAATTAATATTTGCATCAATTAAGCATCATAAAAAAACAAAAAAGTTGCTGCTGCATCAGTAGGTCCATAACTGAAACTTAAAAACAACTTTGCTCCATAGAAGAATACAGTTTATGATGTCTGAACTTCTTCTAAAAGATATATGTATATATAAATGTATCTGACACCTCAGTTAATTGATTATGAACATCATTATAATTATGACATTCCTCATATGCAATTTATCTTCATTTTTCCTTTGCAGCCTTTAGTTGTTGGCAACAGTTAAATGTTATAACTTGAACTTCTATGTTCCTTTTAATAGTGAATGCTCCGTTGTTGATAACCATAGTCCAGTTTTAGTTTGGGCTTCCTATTAAAATAATCAAACCTTTGAAAGCAAGGAAAAGTTTCACTGCCAAAACTGCCTGGGCTTTATAAAAGGGTTCTGCTTATTGATTTTCCAAAGAAACATCCGCCTAGATGAACCGTTGTCAGTGAATATGTCTTTGTATGCAGGTTACCACTTATGGCCCATTTCATGACCCATGATCAAGGCTAATAGTTGTTCCAGTATTTATGCTTAAGCTTCCATGCCTTTATACATGAGTACAACAGGCTGCAGTGTCTCTGTGTTATAAAACCAATTTTATATGCAATTTACTTGACTGGTGGGGTGATAGGATAATGATGAATTATTTTTAGAATCTGTGTTTAAACATGTTGTGGTTTAAGCAGAACTCAGTCACAAAAATATCCCATTAATGATAAAAAAAGAATAGTTTTTGCTGCAATACTTACCTTCAGCCTGGAGCTGCCCCCCACAGTAGCTAATTTTGTGTGTATTGAGGGGAGTGAGCGTACCCAGGGAAGATGGGAGCAAGCTGTTTTAAATGGAAGTGGCTAGGTTAGGGCAGAAGAGGGTTGAAGTGGTGAAGGTTTGTATGTGTAACTGTCTGCTGCTGCTAGTTGTTGAATATACAAAGGTTGGACAAAAAATGGAAATACTATATGATATACAGGTGTGAAAGTGAAGACATGTTTCACATTGAAAGCAGAAGTGATGTAACATTCTTTTGCTTCTGCTGTGTGATGAGACACCTAGCTAACAGGTGGGAAGCCTCACTTTCATCATTCACTGCTTGCGCTGCTAGTAATACAGAGTCATGTCAGAGCTTACTGAGCTTCACAGAGGGCAAATTGTTGGTTCCCACTTAGCTGGGGCCTCTGTGACTGAAGTTGCCAATTTATTTGCTATGTCGCCAGGTAGAGTATCTAAGGTTATGATGGCATATACAGTTTCTGGGAAAACATCATCTGATAAGCAAAAGCGCAGGCGACATGGTGAACTGATTGAAAGAGACAAGGACATTGGGCAGGATTGTGACCCTGAATAAGAAAACAACTGCTGCAAAAATGAAGCGTCGTCACTTTCACACCTACAAATCAGGTAGTGTTTCCATTGTTTTGTCTAACTATATATATATATACACAGTGAAGGAAATAAGTATTTGATCCCCTGATGATTTTGAATGTTTGCCCTACAAAGAAATGATCAGTCTAAAAATCGAATGATAGGTGTATTGTAACACTGAGAGACAGAAAAGCAAAAAATTCGGAAGAACTGCATGTCTAACAAATGATGCACTGATTTCCATGTTCATGAGGGAAATAAGTACTTGATCCCCTATAATTCAGCAGGATTTCTGGCTACCAGGTGTCTTTCATACAGGTAACACGCTGAGATTAGAAGCAGTCTCTTAAAGGAAGTGCTGCCAATCTCATTTTGTTACATGTATAAAAGACACCTGTCCACAGGAGCAATCAAACAATCAGATTCCAAACTCTCCACCATGGAAAAGACCAAAGAGCTGTCCAAGGATGTCAGGGACAAGATTGTAGACCTACACAAGGCTGGACTGGGCTACCAAACTATTGCCAAGTAGCTTGGTGCAATCATTCGCAAACGGAAGAAACACAAAACAATTGTCAGTCTCCCTAGGTCTGGTGCACCTTGCAAGATCTCACCTCGTGGAGTGTCAATGATCATGAGAATAGTGAGGAATCATCCCAGAACTACACATGAGGATCTTGTCAATGATCTCCAGGCAGCTGGGACCATAGTCACCAAGAAAACAATTGGTAACACACTACGCCGACAAGGATTGAAATCCTGCAGTGCCCGCAAGTTCTCTCTGCTCAAGAAAGCACATGTCCAGGTCTGTCTGAAGTTTGCCCCTGAACATCTGAATGATGCAGAGGAGGACTGGTTGAAAGTGTTGTGGTCAGATGAGACCAAAATCGAGCTCTTTGGCATCAACTCAACTCACCGTGTCTGGAGGAGGAGGAATGCTGTCTATGACCCCAATAACACCATCCCAGCTGTCAAACATGGTGGTGGAAACATTCTGCTGTGGGGGCATTTTTCTTCTAAGGGGACAGGACAACTGCACCGCATCAAAGGAACGATGGACGGGGCAATGTAAATGCGTCAAATCTTGGGTGACAACCTTCTTCCCTCAGCTAGGGCATTGAAAATGGGTCATGGATAGGTGTTCCAGCATGACAATGACCCAAAACACACAACCAAGGCAACAAAGGAGTGGCTCAAGAAGAAGAACATTAAGGTCCTGGAGTGGCTTAGCCAGTCTCCAGACCTTAATCCAATTGAAAATCTGTGGAGGGAGCTGAAAGTTCGAGTTGCCAAACGTCAGCCACCAAACCTTAATGACTTGGAGAGGATCTACCAAGAGGAGTAGGCCAAAATACCTTCTGAGATGTGTGCAAACCTGGTGGCCAACTACAGGAAACGTCTGACCTCTGTGATTGTCAACAAGAGATTTGTCACCAAGTACTAAGTCATATTTTGTGAAGGGGATCAAATACTTATTTCCCTCATGAACATGCAAATCAGTGCATCATTTGTTAGACATGCATTTCTTTTGAATTTTTTGTTCCTCTTCTGTCTCTCAGTGTTACAATACACCTACCATTAGATTTTTAGACTGATCATTTCTTTGTGAGTGGGCATACATTCAAAATCAGCAGGGGATCAAATACATATTTCCTTCAATATATATATATATATATATATTATATATATATATATATATATATATGTTGTGACAGTGTGACGATCTGTCACCCAGGATTCTCAACAAGGCAGGTTGAGGGGCTCCAGGGTAAGTGTTTGATACGGAGGAAAGTGGCTTTTCACTTTCCTCCTTTGTTTGTAAGGTCTGTTTTGGGATCTGGAGCCTGGAGATTTCAAAGAGATCTGGGAGGGATGAAATCTCCAATCCTGGGACCAGGTTTTGGGAATGGCCAGGAGACTGATTGCACAGGTGTGTGCAGGCCTTTTCATAGAGTCAGGACCAGGGTTCTGGGCTCCACCCCGGCCAATAGGAGTCAGGAGGGCTCCACCCCAGCCGATAGGAGTCAGGAGGGCTCCACCTGGAAGACAGGAGTCAGGAGGGCTCCACCAAGGAGAGGTGGAAGCCAATAGCAGCAAGGGCTGCTAGAGACTAGCTATGTGCTAGTGGCCAGCTGTGTGCTAGAGCCATGTTTTTGAAAGAGTCTGCAGGAGACAGACATAAGCCTGAAGAGGAAGGCCAGTGGAAGAGTGTGTATATCTGAGAGAGCCAGGAGGCTGAATTTTGTTTATATTGATGGTGAATACCCCTGCGTGGGAAGCTTTGTGGAACATTTTATTTAAATAAAAGTAGGCTAAAAAGGCCTTAAAAAGCAAGCGAGTTGCTGTGTGCGTTTAACCAAGCTCTACCATTTGAAGCGAGTTCCCACAATATATATATATATATATTTGGGGGGGGTAGCTCAGGTGGGGGAATCCCTTTCCCTGGGAAAAAGGTAGTCCAAACAGCAGGGCTTTCTTAAAATCTGACTTGTTGTCAGTTTTATTTACAAGGTTGCAAGCATCAAAACAAACAAAACAGAAAATGAATCCTCACTATCCAGGCACTAACTAAACACAGCAGATTCCTATGTCAAAGGTGAAGGGCTTCTCCCTGTCACCAACAAAATGAAAACAATATGCAAGCCTTTTCCTTGCTTGTATACCACAAACTTTCATCCGCAGCTCACTCAGATATGACTCTCTGAGTCCCAGGCCAAGAGCAACTTCTTGCTCCAGCCCTGCCTTATTTATACCACCTGCTGGTGGTCATCAGTGGGCCACAAAATCCGTTCCGCAACCACCTCTGCCATAGTGGCCCAGAAAACCCGGAGTGGACTCCATCTTAATCTCCCAGATATGATCTCATGTGAGGTGACACATAGGGGTTTATTTACTAAAGCTGGAGAGTGCAAAATCAGACTCACTTCTGCATAGAAACCAATCAGCTTCCAGGTTTCATTACCAAAGCTTCATTGAACAAGCTGAGGTTAGAAGCTGATTGGTTTCTATGCAGAAGGGAGAGTCTGATTTTGGACTCTCCAGCTTTAGTAAATAAACCCCATAGCGTCCATCGATCACCTCGCCTTTCATACTGTCACAATATATATATATATGTTTGTTTAACTTGGGGGACCTTGTTACATAGTTAGTCTGGCTGAAAAATG